CCCCCCCAAAATCTGGGTTATTGGCCAAGTAGTAAGTGTTCCAGACACTGCAGACTTTGGAGCCCAGATCCTTGAAAGTGTTGGACACCAAACTTGCTGAAATCAGGATTATGTCGGACCTTTTACTCTTAATTTGTCATCAGTCTTTAAGGATGTGGGAATAACTAATAATGAGGTGCTTGAGCATAGATAGTATTGTTTTAGGACCTGACACCAGTAGGGCCTAAATCAGTTCAGAGGGTTGCTCAGCAGTGAAGGTGATTTGTTTTCTGATATTATCCTTTTACTTTTTTTTCTTTTAAAAACTTGCTGGTTAGTGGTTAAATGCTTTAATTAAAAATTGGGCTGCCCTCCCAAAAAAAGCCATCTGGCCCCAAATTTGCTGTTTGAGCATAGCAGGAGTAGTAGCTCTTAAGAAATGCAAACTTTGCAGTGATGTTCCCTCTTACAAAAAAAGCTCGAGAGAGAGTTTGTGTTCAGAAAAGGATTGTGGCAAGAATTTTAGTGAGTTTTCTCAAAATGACAGCTCTGCTTGTTGCATTTCTTTGGGCTCTTCCTGGGAGTGTTTAATATTGGCGTATGTGTTCCACCAGTGGGTCTAGGTAGAGGATGCCACTAAGTAGTTGTTTTCCCCAAATAATTCTGTTTGTGTCATATGTGTGTTGGAGGAAGTCAGTTGCTGCAGCATCCTTAGTGTGAGAATATAGGGGAATGGTTTTAAGCAAATTATAATAATCTTCTGTCATTTATGGTGAAAAATACACGTGACTGTATGTCTCGTCACTTACAGTGTCTTGTGTTCCTACTGTTGCCTGTAAGTTTGCAGGGGTAATTCCTTATCTCGCACCCGTTCAAGATAACATTTGTGGTGGTTTTTCTTCTCATGGAAATGCCTCCATTAAAATGTGACAGGCTCAGGGTCTTGCTGCAGTGCCACGCAGTAGTTCAGTACAAATGAGGATTTTTGGGAGACCTGATTGATGCTGCACATAGTTAAATGTTCTGTCTCTCACAGTGGGCAGTAGCCAAATACCTGGAGAAGTCATGAGAAATAGGGCAAGCGCGGAAGTGTTCCTTTCTCTGACAGGGAAAGTGAATTTTAAAAATGTTTGCAAATTTGTCTTTTGTTTAGGAGTGGGGGAAGAGGGAGACTTAAAATATTCTGTGTGTGGTTTAAAAGAAAAGTCCCTTTCAAACAACAAGCTTCAAAGATTAATTTTGTTTAAACAAAACTCACCTTAACAGAGGAGAGTTCAGGATACTCTTTTACTTGTAAAGTAGATAATTAAGATGCTTATAGAACCTCAGCAAAATGTGTTCAAAGGGAGTGGAAAACTCCATAAGAGAAGGAAGAGTTTGTATGTGAAGGAAAGAGGGCAAAGTGCAGGGTGCAGCAGCAAGGTACTGAGTAGTTCTTGGGAAAATTACTTAAAATAGGGGAGTGATAAACTTGTACTGCTTTGCTCTCCTGTTTTACATGGAAGAACTGTAACTGCGAACTGACCCGATGGGTAGCAGTGACAGCACTTGTAAACTGAGGATATGTAGGTGCTGCTCAGCCAAGGACAAGTGCAACTGGAAATTTAAAAGCAACAACGAGGAGCAACTCCAATAAAATCATTTCGTGGTTTTCTAAAGACTGTTGGGGAGAGGATAACGGGACAGGTTGTGGAAAAGGCTTATTAAGTTGAATTGGTCATGGGCAGAACTTAATTGTAGGTACAGCTTAGGCTGACTGCTTGTGAATTGCCTCATTAGCTATGTTGTGGTAGCAAAGAACCACTTAACTGCTACATCCTGTGTTAGTCGAAGGGCTTTAAATTCTTGGTGGTTTTCTGCTGGAGCACAGTAAAACATGGCTTTACAAGGCCTGTGCGCAGGTCGGTCTAAGGGGAATATGTGCTCTCACATTTACCGGAAAATGAAGTCTTGCCACTGGATGAAACTTCAAAGGAAATACAGTTGCCCTAGAAATAGAAGGGGAGACATTTACTCTTTGCAAAAGGTGACTGGAGTCTGTAGACTTAAAGCTTGCTGCCGTGGGCATTCCAAAACTGCCGGTGATGGCTGTGTGGATTGATGGTTCCCAGTGTCCAGTTCTTTGGTGCTTTCAGGGAAACCTCATAGACACTTCTAAACTATTATTTTCCCCTGTCTTTTTATGAGGGAAATGTTTTCCTACAGTTGTGAGTGAGCAAGAATAAATATATGAAACTAATCTTGATTTCAGACTAGCAATGCCTTGCTTGCACATCTTACCAACTGAGGAAGGTGAGCCTGCAGTGTCCTCTTGCATCGTTATTTGCTTTATTTCACTACTCGATCTGATTTGTGAAGTTTTACTTGGTTTATATATGGTTTATATATGTTTTGTCTTCTCACGTATATGGTGTACTGGAAGGAACTGAAGCAGCAGCTCCAGGAATAATGTGTCTGTTTTCTGATTAACGTCCTTGCACAGTGCTTCGGAGCCGTTTGTGGTAGGATATTGTGGATGTTAAAGCTCAGATGGGTACAGAAAGCCAAACTGTAAAATAAACATCTTTCTCTCTGATTGCTAAACACTAAGATGGCAGATTGCTGAGCTGGAGAGAGCACCCTGGGGAAGCATCAGTTCTTGTTTGCTGTATTGCTTGTGTCTTGTAATTAGCTGCTCTCAGGGTCAAAATGGGATGGTAAATGGATCTTCAGTTTGACTAGACCAAAAGTGTTCTCATATCAAACATGGAGATGAACCTGTGCCATTTATGTGCTTAATGCAGCACTTACTGTACTTCCTTTGTAAGGAAATCGGTGTTGTTCGTTGCTCTTGGTTCTTCTGCAGCTGTGCGCTGCACAGGTACCGTCTTCAGCTGTGATACACAGAACAGGAGGCTATTGGAAATTAAGTTGTCTTTAAAGAGTGAACACAGTAATTTGCCCAAATAATGAGGGTTTTTCATTGATAATGTCACCAAGCCTTTGGGAGGAAGGTAGGAGAAAGACTGGCTACAAGGTAAGCGCTCTGTGTGCTTACGAGCCAAAGGAAGGACTTAGGTGAGTGTCTCCTCAAAAGCATTAACCTTTTCTTCCTGAATGTGTCACTAGTGTCAGGTGGCTGAGGGTGTATGTGGGATAAAAATGGCTTTTCCAAATGAGCACCTGCAACATCACTTATCATCACTTAGTATCTTGTTGATATTTGTCATTTGATGCATTTTGAAATTACTCTTATAGCTGTGATTCTTACTGAAGCTTAAAGATGTGTTTGAATTCTTGCTTGCTTATTGCCTCTTCAAGTTAGTGGCTGTAGGCTTGTAGATTAAATATTCATGTTGGGTTTTTTTGTTCTAAATATGACCTTTCTATCAAAGTTAGTTAGCTCACAGGATCATCAAGTAGTACAGCATGTAGATTTAGTCATTAGAGTAGGGGGAGTTACAATGCATTATTAATTTGTTGGTTTCTGCTGGTAATAAAGCAAGGTAAAAAAAGAAAATGGGAATCTTCCTGAGTGTATATGGGACCTTTTTTTTTAGTGATACAGTTTTGTAGTTACATATTTAAACAACACTGTGTCTAAAGTATAAGATGCTGCTGCAGCGTTTTCTAATGTTTGAATGTAAAACTGGAGAGAAAAAAATGCATGTGACTACTTCTAATGGAAAATGGGTTTGGCATGAATGTCAGGGATGTGTGAGTGTGTGTGAGGTGCACCTAGTACATCGGTGGTTGTTTCTTTCAGGTCATGGTGGTTTTGGGTGGTGATACCTTGCTGGTCTGCTAATTATCTGGAATGTTTGTTTTTAATTGCACTTGGAATTACTGTATTCCTATACCAAAGACATGCAGCGATCTCATCAGTGCTCTGGTTCGTTGTGTTGCAGGCTGCAACTCGTCAGGATATGACGTACTGGCTTCAGGAACTTCAGCAGAAGAGATGGGAATATTGTAACAACCTTGACGCAGCAAAGAGGGACAGCCGAACTTCCCCTACACCAAGTGACTTTTCCAAAGGTCTTGTTGCCAAAGACAATCCTGGTAGGTTGAATATTTGAGGAAAAACAGAGTACATGTTTCTGTTTTGTGTCAGTTAATCAGTACAAGGCATAGCACTGGGATAGAGAACGGTCTTAGGAAGTTTTTTGTTACATATTGTTATCAAGTAATTTTATGTAAACTTTACAGCTTTATGTTGATGATGCTAAAATTGTTTAACATAAATGTAATTTTATGTGTGATTTCGTATCTCTTACAAAACCTGTTGATTTCTTTAAAAACACATTTTTAGAAATGAAGTAGAATGGAGTCATCTTCTGACTATGTTTCATTAAGTGGCAAAGTACAGTGTAGGTTACATAAGTTGTCTTGCAGTGGTTGCAATATCTTAAAAGCTTAGCATTTTGAGTATCCTGAGACATAAGCTGCAGTTTTTAAGGGGAGCAGGTATATTTTACGTTCTGAGTGACCATACTTTGTTCCTGAAAAGGTATGGTGTGGTGGATCTGTGGTGTTTACTGTGGTAAAAATTGTACGTGCAGCCTCCCGCTCTCTGCTCTGTAGTCTCCCTTTTTGCCTTTTATGCTGAGTTGGTTGAGTTCAAAAGTTAGCCAAAAAGGAAGGGCTTTTTTCCTGCTAGTTGAATGAGTGGAATATATTTACTGTGCAATCAGGTGATTTCCAGAGCTGATGGAAAGGGTGGAACAAGACCTAGCGGTTGAAGAGGGGAAGGTACAGTAAAGCAGTAGGCAGGACTGCCCTCTTCTGGCAGCAGGCTGTTCGATCAGATCAACTACAATATGTACCTTGGCCCCAAATCTCTGTTCTTTCTTGTTTGTGCTACTTCCTCAGAGCTTAGGTACAATGCGACATTAACCTGCCGTCACTGCAGTCTGTGTAGGTGCTGTTCCCTCTCTCCTGTTCTGCATCAGATCTAGCAGTTGTAATCCAGTCACTTCAGATTACTGATCCGGTGTTTTTCTTTTCTTGTAAATCATCGGAGGTTTGATGGATCAGAAGTGGAACCAATTTGTGTATTATTATTATTATTAAATTCAGTGCAAGGAATGTCAAGATAAAATGCATGGGCTGAGTAGACCCATCCCTTTCGGGGACAGCCTGTAGTTAAACTGCATTGTGTATGATTTGAAACTGCATCTAGGGTATCTCATTTTTGAGGACAAATCACTGTGATGACTTTATCATATACTGAAGTGTTTAAGTAGGGATTTCTTCTGGGGAAAGTGTGAAGAGCCTGAAGGATTGATGATTCTTCTTTTTAAGCAAGTACTCCAAAAGTTGAAGAGTTGGGAGGCTCTTTAAGGCTCTGATTCCATGTTGATGACTAACATTAGTCTTCTGTTTTGTTTTTTTTTTTTTTAAAGTGAACATCCATTTCATGATGTGCTTTATACTGGAGCATAGAAATTGGTTTGTTTTGCTAGTGCTTGAGTACAGATGCTATCAGTAGTGTTTTAAATGGAGAAGTAGTCTGTCTTCAGTCCAGAAACAAAATTGCTCACTGTAGTCTTGCCTGTTTTGTCCTGTTGTGGCTCCTCCTTGTGCCCCTCCTACCCCCCCTCCCCAGTTTAGAAATCTGGACTAACTGGAACACGGGTAAAGCTAAGGTACTTATGAATCAGGCTTGACAAGTTCTTAAGAATATTCAAGGTAGTGAAAAATCCCTTCAAAATATTTTTCAAAGTGGTCTGTGGGAAAGCTCATGTTACAAAAATGATTCTGTAGGATTTGTCGTGGAACTGCCTTGCTATCATGGAAGTCAAATAAATTCTTTATTTATAAGATATGGTATTATCTGTTTTTTTTTCTTGGAATTGATTGAATGTTAATGTAGTTTTTATAACTTCAATTCTTAGTTATGTTATTCCTCAGCTCTTAATTTACATTAATAAAATATTATCTCATATATTTATAAGATGGTTGTGTTTTGAAATAAGTTTAAAAACAAGATGATGTTTTTCAAGGTGGCTGTAGTTGCAACCACATTACTGTGTTGTGGTGTCTCTGCTGTGTACTCCCTGCCTCTAACCACTCCGCTGGCTGGTGTAGGCAGGGGATCGTGTACAACAAGCAACCTCAGGAAGTCAGAGAAGGTTCAGCCAAGCTGACAGGTATTTCTGTTAGAGGAAATGCATTTATTAGAAATTCAGCTCTTGAGTAACTAATTTACCTGGGCTGTACTGTAAAGAGATTTTGCAGTCTTGTCAAATGATACAGGTAGAACACGTAACCAGCTGTCAACATGAAAGCAGAATATTAGTATTCCAGCCTGGTTTTGGGTGCCCTAAGTTTTTGGTGTGGGTTTGGTTGGTTTTTTTTTTGTGGTTGAAACCTGTTGTATTACCTTCCCCTTTTAGACAGTGAATATTTGGCTGATAAGACACTGAAGAAGTTTCAATCAGCACTGTTCATGAAATAAATCAAGGCACTGTAATCTGTACCTGTATTTGAAAGATGACACGATATGCTTCTGTTTCAGATAGCATTTTTCAAGGATTTGAGAGATTTGTAGTGTCAATGATGTTTTATATTTGGTATTCTTTATCACAAAATGTTCTGTCTTTCTACTTCTAATCTTCAATATGGGCTGAATAAAAGTAACCATCTGCTGGGTAATTGGAGGGCACAGCTTGCTCAAAGAAGGTCTTGCTGCTAGTGGCAAGGAATTGTCAGAACAAAGACTGAAAGGCTCACTAGTGATAAAACAGGGTATCATGATTTCCCAGGGTTTTTCCCTTCCTGCAGAGAATGGTTTAAGTCAGAAGCCCATCCAGTGTGTTACTTTCTAATATAACTGCTGAATCAAGTCTGAGAGTTTTCTCAATTTTTTTAATCCACTTTAGTACTTTGTGAAGGATATGGAGAAGAGTCTGAAAAATATATTTGAGCTTGTTTTTAACTTGCTTGCTCAGAGGGTTTGTAGAAGGCCATAAACTTCTTCACGCTCTATAATATTTTTGTTATTCATGGTCTACTCCATACTCTGCATTTCCTATTCCCCCTGCCTGCCAGAGGAGGGGTGAGGGAGAAAGCAAGCTATCCAGGATAACGGAAACACTGAGCTAACTGCGTACTACAGATCCTGCAGTACGTGTTGGACAGTGTGGTGTGTTGGGGGCCTGGCTAGCTCTGCTGGATCAGCTTGGATCCTCTGGGCTTTAGTAGCTCTGGCTCAGGGCTAGCAGCAGTTCTTGGCTGGTTCCTGTGGAGCCATTCAGAGGCTGTGTGAGTGTGCTGGCACGTGCGCAGTGCTGCGCCTGAGCTCTGTGACTGCGTGGCTCTGTGCCTGAGCTGCAGATTTGCTGAAGTGTGGAAGAGTTTGATGGGATGAATTCAGGTACAGCTGCATTCAGCTCAACCAGAGCTAGTAAATCCTTGCTGATCCAGTAGGTCTTCTGATGTGTCTGCAGTGCCTGTGCTGATGGACTCTGTGCAAATCCAGCCTGGGCGTTCCCAGAGCTGGCTCAAATGGGTGAAGCTCATAGACTTGCAGCAGCCAGTGTCACTTCTGGGATGAAGCACACCCTGGAAGCTATGTCACAGTGTTTTTGTGACACTGTTCCTGACTGAGGGGTTCTGATAGATGTGAGCTTGTTTTACAGGGAAGTTTAGGGATTAATGTTATTGATCTACCTTAATTTTTGTGGCTTTATAGCTACATAAGCTACACAAATCAATATTGGCTGAGATAGTTAATCACTCATGAAATAATGCTTCATGACCATCACACAAGTGCTGTTATCAGAAGTATGTGGCTGCAGCGAGAGCTCACTGGGGAAAACATTTTGCTGTTTTTCAAGTTCATTTGAACAGAGCATTTTATAAAGATATATTGCAATTTAAAATAAAACCCTAACCTCATTACTAGCAGGCTTAGTAGTATATGACTATATAGCCAGTATTCTTTCATTTACTGAAAATTTTGTATATTTTTCTCTTTTTTTTTTTTTTTTTTTTTTTTAACATAGATTTGAGTATCCTAAGTCAAAATGCTTCAGCAGAGCGAGCTAGAAATATTCTAGCTGTGGAGACTTCTCCTACAGACCTGGTGGGGGAACAAGCAGCTTCCCAACCTGCACCAGTCCAGCCAAGTGCCATAAATTTCTCACTTAAACAATGGAGTACCGAAATCAAGTAAGTTTGGGACATGGGAGAAAGAGGTATCATGAGATTGATAGTAGCTGGCAGAGCCTATTTCCTACGAAAAGACGTGTGTGTGGTAAGTGGAGCTTTTTAGAAGAACTGGGGGTGGTGGAGTGGATCAGTACATTGGACTGTATCTCTTCAAGTGAACTGTTTCTTTATTACACTCACTTGTTTGAAGGGCATAGCTGAGCATCATTGTGTAGCATTACTGACACCTGAAAGGGTGAATCAAGTCCACTAAAGGACTTCTTGCAATGGCTTTGCTCTCTGAACCGAAGCTGGGAGTTGTATTCCCAGCTAGGACTGCTTTTTATCCTTCATTGTTTAATGGAGCTGTTAATTCTTAGCGTTGTAGTAGTCATAGTATTTAGTGCTTATGTATGAAGTATTTTTACTGAGGAAAATCAAAACAATATATATATTTTTTTTCTTAATTTTCTTCTTAAAAAAACCCAACACATTACACACATTTGAAGTAGATGTAGTTTGAATTATTGACCAAAAATATGGCAGACCCCTTTGGAACAACAGCAAAACCACATCTTATCCCCTCACTTTAATGAGTTCATTCTTTAGCATTAATTGCTTTAAGGAAGGCAGTCCTGGTTTTCAGCTCTCCTCTTAATGGCTTGTTTCTAAGTGACTTTGCTCTGCCCACATAGATTGATCTGCTTCTACTCAAAGGATATTACAGTGCTATTACAGAGCAGCTCACAAAGCAGAGCTGTAGCTTTGGTGAGCTAGACCACATCCCTCTTGAGCTGCAAGTAAAATATTATTTGGTTTCATCAGCGGTGCTGAGTTAAACAGTTTCCTTTTAAAGCTTTTCTGTTAAGCACAGAGATCTGGTGGTGTGTTCTTTTTTTTCTTTTTTTTTTAAGACTACTGTGTAGACCATCGTTTAAGTTTTAGAAAAGATGGTGTATGACTGGATTAAGAAATATGTAAATCCTGTTACTACATGTCTGTTTAAACTCGGAGTCTTGTGTGTTTTCTTGGGCTTGCATGGCTGCTTTGCTTTGGTAGAACTTATATTTAGTCATAATAGAAGGAAAAATAACATGAAACAGTTTCAGTGAAGTGAATTTCCGTATACTTGAAATGAGTGTTGCTGGCTTTTTAAAACTTTTTTTTTTCTGAATTGCAGAGTTTATGCTTTGGGGAGGTCTGAGAAAGGCACCGTCAGGGTGGGCTGCTTGCTGTGTGTTCCTGTTTCTTTGTCACTGAGCAGAAAGGCAGCAGTGGAGTTGTGGGTTGGGAAGCCCTTTTTTGTTGGAGAGAAGTGTTTCTGGTGGCAGTGTCCCAGCAGATATTGTAGCACGGTATTGAAGAGTTGGCCTTTCTCTGTGTAGCTGTGATCCTAATGGCTTGGAGTCCTTGCAGTGCTCTGGGAATAAACATGTAAGAAAGTTTCACACTGTGAAGCTCTTTCAGGCTGAATGCTGCCATCCCCCATTCCGCTCTTTCTGGAGATACTCAGCTGCACTGGTTCATCTGTCTGAATGTGTTCCTGGGAAAATAACATTTATTGTATCTACTAACAGATTTTTTTTAATTCTGTGGAGGTTTTTTTTTTATATGGAGTGCTCTAGTGCCCCCATGAGCTCTAGATTTTAAAGCAAGCATTCCTTCCTGCAAGGTGATACTGGTGGGAAATGGTGTCTTTGTCACAATCGGTTGTTATGCTCAAACATCCTCTTCTGAGCTTTTGGAAAGTCATTTTGCAGAGGGCTTACTGAGCCAGCAGATAAAATCTGAAGTGTGTGTGGTATGGACAGTTGTGCACTACCTCTGGCCGTGTATTCTATCGCTGGGATAAGAGTCTGCAACCTCGTCAGAAACTATTGAGCTGCTAGAACCTCTGACAAATGTATTTACATTAGCATAGGACTTGCAGTGACTTGTCTTGAAAGCTATGGCATTACCCCTGCCTGTTCTGAACTAGGAGATCATGAGCACTTAAGTTCCGTATCTAGTAAGATACATTTGTTCCAGGTCTGTTGGATTTTCCTTCTAATGGCTCTCCTCAGCTGCCCCAGAGAGGGGTAGGGCATGTATAATCTGAATTTAAACTTATTTTGCGTAAGTATTAAAAGTTATCGTTATTACATGCTTACATTCCCCATATCTTTTGTTCATTCAGTCCTGCAATAAATGATGCCCAATTAGTAAGCAAAACTATTCAGTAATGTTGGCAGGGTCCTTCAGACAACAGCCTTTCTTATTGCACAGCTTTGGTTTGTGCTTGGACCGTTTTGAACTGAAGTCCTGTGAAAAAGCATTAAGTGGTCATATAAGCCCTGTATTTTAACACATACAGCCTCATTTGTCACTTCTTGATTGAAAAGTGGTTGTCTTTTACTGGGCTGGACAGCATTCTTTGAGCATGTATCACCAGAAGGTCTAGTTAGTTGTATTGGACCTCTGTGTGGAATCAGGACAAGATTCTTAATATTTTCATAGCAGCGAAAGCTAATTATTAATCTTGGAAAATTAAAATGGCATAGTAGTGTGACTATAAAAGCTGGTGGCAAAAAAAGCCCCTCTAAAATGTTAGAAACTCTATAGTACACGTATGCAAACAATGGTACTGTCATGGTTGATTGTTTCCCTCCCTCCTCTGCAATTCTACGCAATTTGGGCAGAGGTGAGATCTTATCACCTTTATGAGTCCACTGTCTGATTTCTTATTGGATTGTGACTAGTTTTAACCCCAATATTAGAGGATGGATCAAGGTATTTCCAGAACTTCAGTCAGTTTTTCTCTACATCACTGGGAGCGTGTATTTGTTAAGAACCTAACAGATGTCTCAAAGACTTACCTTTTCTCCTGAACACATCTGTGATGCATTTGTCAGAGAAGCTATTGCTATAATAACTGCATTTGCATCCTAGGTAGCAGTGATGAAATAATAATTGGAAAAAAAATGAAGAATATGTATTGGAATTAAACCACATGTATATTTACAGTAACTAAAGTTGAAACATGCTTTTTTACTTGAAAAAAATCTATTTTAAAGTACAAATTGGCATATATAGACATTTAGGCTTGGTGGTTTTTTTTTCCATTTTGTGCTGGTTTTGACTGGGATAGAGTTAATTTTCTTCGTAGTAGGAGGCTATGTTTTTGTATTTGTGCTGGGAACAATGTTGATAACACTGATGTTTTAGTTGTTGCCAAGCAATGCTTACATGAAGCCAAGGACTATTTCAGCTTCTCATCCTGCCCCTGCCCTCCTGGCTTCTCCTCTGCAAGAAGCTGGGAGGAGACACGGCCAGGGCAGCAGACCCAAACTGGCCGAAGGGATATTCTGTTCCGTACCATACAACGTCATGCTCAGTGTATAAGCTTGGGGACTTGGCTGGGGCAGGCGATCGCTGCTGGGGGACTGGCTGGGTGTCAGGCAGTGGGTGGTGAGTGGTTGCATCACTTGTTTTTTCTTGAGTTTTGGTTTTGTTGTTTTCCTTTTCATTACAATTGATTATTATTAGTAGTAGTATTTTATTTCGTTCGTTAAACTGTGCGTATCTCAAACCATGAGTTTTCTTACATTTTTGTTCCAATTCTCTCCCTCATCTCGCTTGCGGGGGGGAGCGACCGTGCGGCAGTGTGGTGTGTAATTGCCAGCTGGGATTAAACCATGACACATCTTTATGCTGTCAGTATCTTTTATGTATGTGGAATATAGAGTTGGAAACATACTCAATTATAGTAACTTCAAATTACATAATCATAAAAAAACCCAAAACATCTAAAAATACGTAATCATTAGATCGTATGATCAGGTCTTGCATCATATGTCCAATTGTAATTGTACTGTGCTTAGGAAAACAAATACTGTTTTTTAAATTGAACTATCTACTTTTAATCTAATAGAAAGTAATGAAACAATGCTACTTCTGTGCCCTTAACAACCCTATGCAAAAGCTTTGCAAAATTCAGCATCAGCTGTTCGTGGGCCTGATGGCAATTTTTGAAGAAGCTTTTGTAGAAATCATTTGACTTCTTGTTCCTTGTGATTTTTCAAGCTTTAAAAGGTGGTGTTCAGACAGGCTTGAAATACTGAAGTTGCTCAAGAGCAGAACAGGTGGTTGTGGCGTTGCATGGTAAAGACACAAGCCAACTATTCAGAGAATAGCTGTAGAGATGCCAAGGGACACTTACTAATTTTGGGTGCCCTAGGAAATATGTCAGTCATCACCCAATTTGATCTATTTAATTTGAACGGAAGATCTGAACAATGCAATGAGGCTTCTTGCGCCCAGCAGAAGTTGTAATCCTTTCTGGAAGGAGATTAAATCTTTGTCACGTTTGCAAATTGGTTGTTGAAATAGTTTTAATAACCTTTAGGATTGTTTTAAAGTGGTACTTGATTTCAGCTCACCAGACTGTTGGAATTTTGCACTGCATAATGATTGGCCTGAAGTTCACGTTGATCAGATGGTAAACTTCTTGTGATGCTGAAAGACTGGGTTGAATCGTCAAGTGATCTTGAAGGTGTAGTACAGGTTACTTTCTGCTTAAGGCTTGAAGAGTAAGAAGAGAAAATGTGTCTGACTGAAAGCATCTTTGTGGGTCTCTGTCTTACATAGACTGTAGAAAATGCTGAGATACTAAATATGCTGCCAACTTTATATCTAAAATATTAGACTGATTCATATGGATTGATGTAGAATTGCCTTTTCTAGTTGAACAGACTTTACAGTACCACGCTACATTAATACTCATGGACATAAGTGTGGACTTAAACATTTCTGATTGCATGATGGTTATGGGGAAGCTGGGTAGGGTAATCTCATCTGCTTGTGAAACACATTGTTCTATAGAATTATCAGCTGGAATTTAGAGGTTGCCTCTGAAATGTTCTTGCAGATAATTGGCAACATTCCACCTTAGTAAAGAAAACTGCTAAGGAGTCTGTCATCAGCAATTCAGCTACAGCAGGTCTCTTGAGTGATCCCAAGTTTGACATGAATCCAGAATAGAAAACTATAACATACATGCGTTTTGACTGCATGCTGTTCTGTTTAATGCTTGGCAGTTATCCTAAAATTCTGAGCTACAATAACTGATCAGTAAAGGGATGCTGCTTCTAAATCTTAATTTTGTTTTGTTTTGCTTTTTCCCCACTGCCAAAACAAGGATAAAATAGAGCATGACACACGAGACCATAGTGGTCTCCTAGATATTAATATCCTGTTAAAGCGTATTAATTCTTCTGTTCTGGAAAAATAGCACTGTTGATAGCAGATGCTATTTAGTAGGATATGCTTTATTTTCTTTGAGCTTTTATTTCATATTGGTTTTGTCTGTGTTTTAGTTTATTTTTAGTTTGCCCTGTTTCAACTGCAGTGGTTGTCTTGAAAACCTCTTCATAAAAAGAATGCAAAGCGGAGAAACCTTTGTCACTTTTCCTGCTGCCTTTTTCACAGAAATTCAATGTCCTCTTTAAGAAAAGGAAATAACGAAAACCGTAAGAGCATATTTTATACCACTGAAGAGTGGGAATTGCTGGATCCAACCCCAAAAGACTTGGAGGACTCGATGGCCCTGGAAGAAAAGAGGAAACACCTGGCAGAAGGAAGCAAAGGTAGAAGTGGGAGGGAGGAAGGAAGGGGAGCGTATGCCTTACCTTCTTTAGTAGAGTGTGCTGTGTTATGTCTGTCTCGAGGAAGTAAGTGGAAATGTATCTTTTCTTCACAAACCACATCCAGAGCTCTGTAAATTCTTCTAAAAAATTACCTCCTTATAACGTGTTTGGAGTCCCCTGCCATTCAGATACAACAGCGTAAGTGCAAAGCCTTGTTATCCACTGTTTCAGGTTCCCCGGGCCTATTACCATCTCAGGTTTTGTCACTGAAGTTGCAAAGTTAAAGGATGAAGGGAAATGTTGAGGCTTTTGATTACTCAGTTGAGTGTCACCCATTGAAGCAGAATTGCTGTTAGACTCTAAAGATCTGCAGTATATACATGTTATATTGGCTTGCTTCTGAAATGGGGAAAAAAGTAGGGATGCATACGCAGTGATGGCTCATCTGGGCATTGTAGCTGGGTCTCGCCTTTGACCAGTGTCTGTCATAACCTTGTGAAGACATTGTTACAGCTCCTTAAGAGCACTTCAGCAACATCCAAGTGATTTAATCTGTTAGAAAACATCCTTATCTCTAAGAATACTCCCGTGGTTATATAAATGGAGGTGAAACCTTACACTGAATGCCTCTTAAAAGAACAGTATGCTGTGATATCAGTTGTTCTAATCGCTTCTGAGCTGTCAAATATTTGAAGCAAAGTTTACTTTGCCATTTACTTTTATTTTCAGTAATGAATTGTGAAGTTCTCTTCCTGTCTTATTTCACAAGTATTAATTTGTGAGATAAAATTGTTATCTGGGAGGGGAGAAGACTTTGAGCTGTATGCTTTTCCCACCAAAGGAATCGACTTGGAAAATGAGGCCTGAGTAACACTATTGTATGGGGCTGTTTGAATGCTGCTTAGAGTCTAATTTTAATGACCATATTTTTAAAAGGAAATCTGAATGCTTTGAAACGTCTTTTTACTAAGTGAATTGAACTAGAAGAAATTGTTTTATGCAGGACTCACTAGTTCAGCTTTTCCATTCGATTTTGGCCGCATTCCACACAAAACAAGGCGCCCGTTAAAAGACGTGATTGGATCAAGCAAAAACCGGAACAGCAGTGACTCTTCTCCAACGGAGTGGTATTCTGGTAATGGCAACAAACTAGTCTCTGAACTGCAACTGAAGTATCAGAGCCAGCAAGAAGAGCTGGAAAAGCTAAAGAAAGATCTTTTGAGTCAAAAGGTAATTAAGCCTTCAGGCAAAGAGCATGAAAGCTTGTTAGTTTGCCCTTTATGGCCATCTAACTGCATTAAGATGTAATTGTTCAAAAATAATGGTGATAAATGAATCTGTTTACAAAATGTCATGAAACAAAAAGGACCAAATTTTACATCTGTAAAGATTAGATCCCTGAACAAAACTTGGTGTGTATCTCTTTCTTGTCATCTGAAACTAGATTTCTCTAGATCTGCCAGGATCACACATAATCACAGCTTCGAAATCCTCCTTTCGGGTCCTTTTTATTTAGTTTGTGTTTTGTTTCTTTTAATTCTGGAGGAGAAGGTGGGGGAATGGGAACTGACTTCTCTTTGTCTTTGTGTCTCTGTCTCTCTTGTATTAACTGCATTATCACAAACAGTTTTGTAAATTATAGACCTAACCATAAACCTGTGTATGCAATACTGCCCTCTTATTTTATGCTTGTGTGCCCTTATAACTCATATTTCTTAAATAACTTGGTTTTATCTAAAAGAATTTCTCAAAATCAGTGCCTCATTCTAGGTATATCTTTGTGATTTTCCACGTCTCTGTAAAATTCCAGATACATTACTGAACATTCAAGTTCTCAGGAATTCTATAAAGCCAATTCCTGTTTGTGTCCTTGTATTCTTAATTAGTGTCAGAGAACTATTTAAAATAAAAGAATGAAAACCTCCCGGTTTCACTGATAAGTATTGCAAACGCTTCTAGGGTTAAATGTACCTTCCCACAGTTCCCCAGTGTTGAACCATTAACCAAACATGGGAAACAGCAAAGGTAATAATCCAGATTAGGGAGACTTGTAAGGGAGCAGTCTGCTGTTCCTGCTTTCTTAGTGTTTGTTGTTGATCTGGAATATCTTCTTTTCTTGTGTGTGGTTTTTGGTTTTGTTTTGGGTTTTTTTGGTTTCGTGTTTTGGATTTGTTGGTTGCTTTTTTTAGTTTTGGGGGTTTGGCTTTTTTTACAGTTTACCTTTTGGAGAGCTTCTGGTAGCAGCTAAGGCAAACTCTGACAGTATTTCTTTTACATTTCACTTTGACTTATTTGCATGGAACAGCCTTTACTTCTTGAATGTCATAGTAAGATCTCATTCCAGCAAGGAGTCAAGTAGGGTTTTACTTTCAGTGTAACTGCCTTAAAAATCAGCTTGTTTTATGCGTGTGTACCTGTGGTTCCCCAAGCAAAACGCATACACCTTTTATGCAAGTGGATAAATGTTGTAATTATCCAGAATTTTTGCAATTGCATGAGCAAAGATCCTTGTCCTTTTTTAGTGTGAAGGAATTGAAGACAGTAGAATTGTTAGATGGATGCGTTTTCAAAAAGAAGCTCTAGTTCAGAGCCTTTGATGCTGTCTTTTTTGCAAGGACCACAGAAAGTCCTCCCTTGTGGCAGGTCAGTTAATTACTTGGCTGATTCTGCGGCAAGATTTTCTAAACGGCCCTCCAGAGACTTCCTTTTCAGCAAAGCCACATGTATTTTTTTTTCTCCTTTCATTTTCTGAGCATCTGTTAGGGAAGAGAGCAATTAGTTGTCTTTCCCTTTTCCATTCAGTATGTTTCATTCATAATTCATAATTTTTTTTGGTTTAAGCCCTCTTCCTATTTATCTTCTTAAAACAGGGTTTCTTACAAGGAAGCCTTTTTGAGCTTCCAGGTAGCTGTGGGGCCACAGCTGTCAACTGCTCTTCCCAAACCTGTTGTAACCTTGCTAGACAGGATCCTTAGCTCAGTGAAAGATGCTGAAGCCATCTGTATAGGCCAGTCATTGTAAGGTATTAGCCTGCTAGAAAACTTGTCGTGCAAATGTTTCCTTTTTTCCTCAAGACACCACCATGAAGTCTGTTATAAGCTGATGATTCAGATGCAAAATCCATTCTAAAGCTTATTTTTTTTTTGCTTGACATTAGATTTCTAAGTTTTATAAAACTTACAACTTCGTTACAATCTTTCTTTTTAAAAATTCTTAGGAACTTGTGCGACTCCTGCAGCAAACAGTCCGATCTTCTCAATATGACAAATATTTTGCAAGCCGTCTTTGTGAGGGGGTTCCCAAAGACAAATTAGAGCTGTTGCACCAAAAAGATGACCAGATTTTGGGTCTCAACAACCAGCTTGAAAAGTTAAATCTGGAAAAAGATAGTCTCCAGCAGGAAGTAAAGAATCTGAAATGTAAAGTTGGAGAACTCAATGAGCGGCTGGGTATGTTGATGGAAACTATTCAAGCTAAAGATGAAGTGATCATGAAGCTCTCTCGTCAGCTCAGCGAATGTGAGGACAATACCTCCTCTCAGAGTGGAGCAGTAAATTCTTCCGTGGCCACCTGTACTAATAAGGAACTACAGGAACTGGACAGACTAAAAGTAAGACCAATGTCTCTGTCTTGGTGCGTAGGGGAATCTCTGCTCCCTGTAAAAACTACTTTCTAGTTTGCTGTACTGTTTGAGGAGATCACTGCAGCAGTTCTCCAAGGTACTCATCAACTGAGGCTTTCTCTGCTTGGAATCTACACTTTGAACTGTTATGTGGCAATCTGAACAGGACTTTTGTACTTTGAGCTGGTCGGTACATCTCTAGTACAGTGTCCCATACTTTCAGTAATTTAATCATTGGTGTGGAGGAGGAGTGATGTGAGAAGTAATCAAAGGAACAGGAAAAAGTAAGGGTAGGAGGAAAGTCTGGTCGGTACATCTCTAGTACAGTGTCCCATACTTTCAGTAATTTAATCATTGGTGTGGAGGAGGAGTGATGTGAGAAGTAATCAGTAACAGGAAAAAGTAAGGGTAAGAGGAAAGTATGAGCATGGAGGAAAACAATCAGAAAGCTTGCCTTTTTTTTTTTTTAAATATCAGAAGTGAGGAAACAAAGAGTATGTGGAATGGCAAAGGGGAGGTCCGAGGAGAGAAAAAAGGAGGAGCATAAGTATTAAATATCAGAAGTGAGGAAACAAAGAGCATGTGGAATGGCAAAGGGGAGGTCTGAGGAGAGAAAAAAGGAGGAGTATAAGAACCTGTTTTATTAATGCTGCTCCAAATGTTATCAATGCTTTTTTTTTTTTTCTCCCCCCTCTAACCTACCTCAGTGAATGTGTCCGAAGTTCTTAATGGAGTTCCTGAATTAGCCACTTTGTTCTAAACGTGCTTTCTGGCCTTTGGATAAATGTTGTCCTCCAAACTGATTAACATTCCAAGCGATGTGGAGTGTGTGAGGCACAGCACCACCCTGTGCTCATGTTTGGCATGTGTGTTTGACTTGCGTGAAGACTAAAAATGAATATTTGGTTTGATCCTGATATTTTTAATGATTAGTCCTGTTAGTAGCCGCTTGTTCTGTTTTCTAAGGTATACTTTCTCTGATAGGCATTTACTGTTGGTAAGATATTTTTATTAAAAATCCAGTTTGCTGTTTTATCAACAGGACAATCTTCAGGGTTATAAGACCCAGAATAAATTTTTAAATAAGGAGATTTTGGAACTTTCTGCTCTACGAAGAAATGCAGAAGCAAGAGAGAGAGAATGGCAGGCAAAGGTCAGACTAACTCAGCATGTTCTCATTTTGTCAATGTGTAAAGCAGTTTTCAAAAATTCAGTTGTAAATCTGGACAGGGAATGTAACTGTGGAATGGAAGTGGAATGGCTTAAATATATTAAATGTGGCAGCTTAAAAAAAAAAAATCCCCTTCCCACCCAGTCCTTACAGACTAATCTTTCTGAATGGATTCTTGAAAGAGGTAATTGACTTTAAAATCATTTTAACCACTGGAGCTTTTTTCACAACTTATGCACACAGGCATATATATTTCTGAAAACATTGTTTTCTCTGAATTAAGGCTGCAATAAGGCAGGGTGTGTAAGGATTTGATACATCGCTGAGTAGAGCTTTCTCCTTCTGAGCACGAAGGATGACTCCAGTGTGGGGAATGTAACTTTGCAAGTGTGCTTCTGTATAGATGAATCTGAGTATAGAGAAGTTGCAGGTAAATAATGGAGATTTCCATTGCTTGGAGCTAGGAAAATTGCACACATCCGTAGCTAAGGCAAGATATACCTGTAGCTGTGGTTTGGTAGGGTTTGCTTTTGTTTTGGAAAGTACGCGCACAGTGGCCAGGTCTAAATGCTGGGCTTTTGGCATGGTGGTGTGTGTTTGAAATTCCTACCTGCTATTACCTAACTCAGATCTTTAAAATGACATTTAAGTTTTTTGTTCAAACATGCATAGAGTAAAGCTGTTATTTAAAGCACAAAATGGTGAGTTGTACTTCCACAATGTAATGATAATTAAAGCTTGCTCAGATTTTCCGCATGTTAAAATACATGTGATAGAAAATCTCCAGTCTACTATTCTGCCTTAAAAGGCTTCCTGTAAAAAGCCACAAGTATCTGAGGTTTCTTTCCCAAGTACTTTAAATACAGAATTTTACAGCAGTGGAATAAAATGCATGTATAATTTTTATTTTCCACACATAAGAGTTTTATGTTTTCTGGTACTACAAAAATGGGAAAGTAAAGCTGACTGTTCTTGACTTACAGGTTTCTAAGCAACATAAACTAAGAGAATAATATTGAACCAGATTTTTAAAAGAAGTGTCGTGCAAAGTAAGTTTCTGAAGACTTATAATATTGTATATTGTTTTCTGCAGTATACTAGCTTGGAAGCCAAACTCTGTCAGATAGAAAGTAAATACTTGATCTTGCTTCAAGAAATGAAAACTCCTGTTTGTTCTGAGGAGCAGAGTCCTGCTCGTGAGGTCATCACACAGTTACTGGAAGATGCCTTGAAAGCAGAAACCAGTGAACAACCAGAACAAGCGTTTTTCAAACCACACCTGGTCAGGTAATGTGGTCCTATTAAAATAAATGCATGTGTATCTTGGTCAGTGGGCCCGGTTCTGACACTGGGAAACAGAGAGCGGGGATATATTTGCAGGATTTGGGGCTTTTAATGTATTTCCCTTCATAAATGACAGTATCATCATTAAAACCTTTTTTGGCTGTATAAACATATTTATTGTTTTATTTGAGGTACAGAACTTAAATGTTGCCGTATACTGCTGAAGGTGAGCTACCGAAGAGATGGGTTCATTTGAACTTGTTTAATCTGTGTAGTAGTATGTACTGGAATACCAAGTCTTTTGAATATGGGGTTATAAAAATAATTATTAAATAAAGGATATACTTCAGAAAAATGCTTAGTAATTGTTAAAACTTGAAAACTCTGGGGAGTGGCTTGAGAGATATTTGAAGTAACTTTAGGATGGGAACTTGAGAGTTTCAGGGCTACTGAACACATTTTTAAAAGCCTTTTTTCTTTCCCCCCCTCCATTGCAGTGAATATGATATATATGGTTTTCAGACGGTGCCAGAGGATGATGATGAGGAGAAACTAGTAGCAAAATCACGAGCTCTGGACCTGAGATCACTTTCTCTCAGTGAAAATCGAGAGATCTCCACAGGAGTAAAATGGGAAAACTATCTTGCAAGCACGATGAATAGAGAGATGATGCGCTGTGTAGAACTAAAGAATCTTATTCGATCTGGAATTCCACATGAACATCGCTCCAAGATGTGGAAATGGTGTGTCAATCTCCATGTTAAAAAATTCAAGGACAGCACTGTTCCTGGGTACTTCCAAACCTTGCTTCAAAATGCTCTGGAAAAACAAAATCCTGCATCTAAACAAATTGAGTTGGATCTCTTGAGAACTTTGCCAAACAACAAACATTATTCTTCCCCGACATCCGAAGGGATCCAGAAGCTGCGAAATGTGCTGCTGGCATTTTCCTGGAGAAATCCTGATATAGGATATTGCCAAGGGCTCAACAGGTAAGATTTTGCAAATCTTGAGTTATAACTATGCAGTGAAACACTTAATGAGCCTTTCAAATCACGTGTATAGCAATGTGCTTTTGGACAGCAATTTGCCTTATGGGCTGTATCTTCATAACTTGCAGGGTTTTAATAAACAAATAACTATCACAATTTTTAAAAGCAATAAAAACACAAAAGATTTGGATCATGAAACTTGTAAAATCAGGTTGGCAAAAAAACTGGAACTCCAATTAACTTACATAAGAAATGGACTACTTCAGTC